TTATAAATCCCTGAAACTAATTAGATTATATAGTATATTTACCTGAGAATCAAGCTTACCAGCACATTATCCGTTTAGTTAAGCTCGTTGAGAACTCAGCAGCTCAGCAGCTCATGCGTGTGTCCGCTGGGTCCTAATCCTGGTCCACAACGATCACTAGAGGTTTCTCTGCTCCAGCACACCTGATTTGAATGAAGGGGATTAACTGGCTTCTGYGGAACTTAAAAAGGGGTTTTGGAGGACCGGACACCCCTGCCTTCAATGTTTCATTTTCATCTAACCAGAAGAAACCAGTTCTGGACTTCAGCTATGAAGCTGCATCAGTGCTACAACAAAGCAACATGCACTGCTAACCCCACCCCTATCCCTGTGCCCTCTCTCTAGTGTGATTAAATTATCACATGAATTTCTACACAGTCCTCTAAGTGGCAGGTTTCTCACTTGTAATCTCCTTTTTTCAGCTTTGAAGTGTAATGTGACCTAACAGCCCTTGAACCAACTAAATGCCTGTGTCACTTCCCATTCAAGCACTGTTTACTAAGGAAAACTGAACAGACCACCGTGCAGCCTTCRGGTTCTGCATATTCATATATCTCATAATAGACTTGAGTGCTTGTTTGGCTAAGGCTTTTGCTCATCAGTCTAATCAAATGTTAAATGAAGTGTTTACTAAGAAACATCCACGAAAGCAATATTCAAATAAAGATCTTTTACACATTGCTCGAGATCATTTTAAAACATGACATTTTCAGGTTTGCTCCTCAGTACACACGCATACAAGGTTTTTGGTGAGAAAAAAAGTAATAAAAAAACCATTGCAAAACAGTTTCTGGAGGACCTGTATAAACAAGTAACACTGAACTCGTACGAAGCAGCCTGTTTAGTACTTACTCATTTAAATTTGGTGCCTAGAAACACAAACCAATGATTACATTATTATTTATTTTATTTTTGTTTCAGTTTTGCATGTGTTTGTCTCATTTTGGTCTTAAAAATGCTAATAATTGAGAGGAAACTGTAAACAGCATTGTAAAAATGAAATATTTTGGGGAGAATCATAGGCAAACCTAACCCCCAATTACACTGCACAAGGCTTCGCTCCTCTCTGCCACGTTGCTGCCATTTAATTCCACCCTCATTTACACTGCCTGCAGCTCAGCTTGGTGCAAAGAAGTTCTCAGAGAAGCATGCGCAGGAAATGCAAGATTAAGCAACAAAACCAAGGATAAAATCAGACAAAACGTATTCATTCTGTGGAAGACAGACTTGAAACAACAGTTGAAACTGCATCACTGTTGTCTTTTTTGGAATCCATCTTTCAAAATAAAAATCCACATTTTGTGTATGACTATGCTGCATGCTGCCATCTGCTGCCCAAACAGAATGATATATTTTGTCAGCATTATGTGTACATAGATTTATTAACATAACTAGGATTTTGACAAAATGTAGATGCCCTTGTTGAATTTTTTTGAAAATACTGGTGTACGCACAGTTTTTCTATTTGTGCGGTGTGATCTTTGTAGATTAACTCCGCACTTGCTTCGCCATCTGGATCAAGTAGGATCAAATCTAAATTTGGCAGATGACTGTGTGCACACCCCCACTCTGTGGATGCAGTGTAAATGCACGCATTGATTAAAATGGGTATGTTTTTACTGCGGAGGTCATTCCGAAGCACAGCAGACACAGTGTAAAATGGGAGTAACAATGGGCCTCATGCAAGAACATTTTTGTATTCTTATCCTAAATTTCTCTTACTTTTGTTCGTATGAAGGGTTCGTACGAACATGCCACATCAGATTCAACAAACTCTTCTATCTTCAGGAAAGATGTGTAAAATAGCTAAACATGATGAATGCATATCCAGGTTTTTTTCTGCTTGGCCTTCAGAGGAGTCGGACGCTTTTTGCTCTCTCTCCCGAACCTCCCTCTTTTCCCTGCTTTGCTGCCGGATCAAGCCTTTCTTCTACCTATCATTCGACAACAAAGAATTATGGATCTGGCCAACTGGTCTCTGAATGCAATTGATACTATTTTTTCCACTCTGTGATTGTAGTGAGGGGAGCGCAGCTGTCCTAGTCCCAGTCGCGGCCGGGCATGTGTYTGGGAGCTGGGGGTGGAACCAGATCTGCCGGGCCCCACTTTCCATTGAAGACGTCAAAGGTGTTTATATTCAGATTTATGATAATCAGATTCCTGCTGATCGGCTGTGGAGGAGTCCTGGTTTATTGGAAAATGAAARCAAACCTGACAACAGTTTGGGCCTGTGAAAAGCTGTCAGGGACCTTGGATGGAATTTCCCGTACTGCAAATGCACGGACTCAAATGCTGGGGGATATAAGTCGCAGACTGGATGTGGTTATGACGAGGATCACAACTCAACAGCGTGCCCGTGAGGAGTGAGACTACATCTGGGTGAAGTTTCATACGGGAGAGGCGAGGTGGTAAACAAACCTGGAATATTGGCATTTTTTTTTGCAACACTGAGGCACAGTTAATACTCAAAGCAGTGAAATAAGGCTGCTTGCCCTAAGGAATTATGTTTATCATTAGATTCCCACGGCTRTGACCTTGGTCGCAGGCTGATAAAACCTCCCTGGAATGACACGTGAAAGAAAGCCTTGACCCCGCCCCCCCCTTCCCGTTCCATCTGTGTTTGGGATCAGTCTGTAGGCCGCGTTGGGTGGAGACAGAGAACTGAACTCTGGTGACCCGTGCTTTGACTGATAATAACTGGTTTGGACTCTGAAGGTCTTCTGATCCGGCACGAAGTCTGCCCTGGATGTCACCGGATCCCTGTATCCCTCCCCATACCATATGTTTTGACCCCCCACCTCCCTCCCCTCCTTAGCTGACGGCACTGTTTTGCAGAGTATTTTTTAAGCGTATGTTTGTGTGTTTTCAGCATAAAACACATGATCAAATCTCTTTTTTTAACTCACACTTCCTATGTGTGTGTATTCTAAACTGCAAAGGTAGCGCACTACGTTGTGAAAGACCCTGGACATTGGTTCCCCCATGTTTGTCATGTGTGTGTGTTTCTCCGGACGGATGTTCTAAACTGCAAATTTCATTCTGCACTGCATCTTGATGTTGTGTGTGAATGACAATAAACAATTCTGATTCTGAGGTGCTCGTGCAAGAGGAGGGGAGATTAGCATAATTACCACTCAAAAGCACCATATAAGGCTACGTTTCCTGCATCACATACCAGGAAGTGTTCATTCACAAATGACAGAGCAAAGTAAAAAGAACTTTACGACTTCGGCGATTGAAGTCCTGCTGTCAGAGATGCAGAAAAGAAAATCTGTCATTTTTAGCAGCATCAGCTGTGGAATTAAAGGACCTGCTAAAAGTATAAACAACTGTGTTAAATCATTTTCATTTATTCAGAAGCAACACCRTTGAGTACCCCACCCCCCACGCGGTCGCAAGTGGTCTCAGTTGCGGTTCTGAAATAAGCATTTTAAAATGTTTTCAAAAAATGTCTGGCACCTTGGAGAAAATCCAGGACTCGCTGGAGGGATTTTGTATTCTTTCTGGCCTGGGAACATCTCGGAGTCCCCCAGGATGACCTGGAAATTGTCGCTGGGGAGAAGGATGTCTAGGTTTCTTTCCTGGACCTTTTGCCTCCACGACCTGACTACGGATAAGAGGAAGAACATGGGGATGGAGACTTTGGAGAAAATAGTATAGCTGATGTGCTGAAAATATCTCAACAAAATAAAATTTGATTAAAAAAATAATCTGTCAAGCTAATTATATACCAAAACTAACTGAAGTTCAATTAATGCATAATTTAAGTTGGTTTGTAGTTTCAGATCTTCATATTTATATCGTAGTGTTATACAACAGCATTAATAGCAAATTTATTTTAATTTAAACTATTTATATCGTTAGTCTAAATTGTTTTATTTAAAATTACAACTCTAATTCAAACAGAATAGCCTATTGTCAACATAATCATAGAGTGTGATTTATTTTCAACTGAAATATTTTCAAACTAATGAAATATAAAGTTAGTAGTGAAGAAAATTGAAAANGATGTATACATAATGTAACGCTAACAATTAAATCCAATATATAACCTGTATGAGTAATTTAGTCATTCAAAGCTGGTATATAACCCCGTGAATTTTTCCTTTTTTATTTGTCCTATTATGGTTCCTTGTCATTTGTGAGTTATACCATGTTGTTGTTGTTGGTGGTGGTGGTGGTGGTGGTGGTGGTGGTGGTAGTATTATTATTAGTATTATCAAAATCGGTCTGGATAACAGCAGACTGACTGCTCATAAAATATACAACAGGTCTGTTAGAAATGTTTGGATGCAGATAAATTTCACATAACTGTTACATAAAATTATAGTAACTGTGTTMTATTTCCCTCACCTGATGGTGATAGAATAGTGTTGTTTTATTAATACACAGTTATCTGTTTAGTTGGTAACTTAACATAGTTATTTTTTTATCTGAAGTTCTTCATGATGTTGCTTCAGCATTCTGGCAATGCTTCACATCAACAAACATTCATTTTATTTATTTATTTTTTACAGTAGAAAGCTGTGTGCAATCAATTCAACTTTAATGTCCAAATCTGTGGTTTTGTTTATGTTGTGTTGATGGTGGAAACTTAAAGGTCTCAGTTACTACCACAAAGCTTTTTGACATTTGCACTGAACCAAACATAACACAAGTTCCAGTTTCTAATACCGCTCAATCCCAAGTCAGACAACATTTGGGACATTTTTTTCCAAACATCCAGGCTCATATGCTGTTTGTTGTCAACAGTGGTGAGTACCGACCAACAGAGTTCATGCTTGATTGGGCTGGGCCTTTGAGTTTCCTGCAAAAAGAAAGAAAGAAAAAAGAAATAAAAGCAGAACATATAAGGCAGGGGCATCCACATGGTTTGTATACATGACAAAACCTTAATAAAGTACTACTGTACAAGGTGTTGTATCTAGATCCATTATTTATAACTTTACCCACATAAAGAACAAGATGATCTTCCTCCCACAGTCCTCCCACATCCTCTCCTAAACAGTATTTCTGTCTCTTTTTAGCTCTGTTTGGCAGATGGCTTGTTGATATTGCCATATTACACTCAAGTATTGTGTTGCTTTATTTTTGGACACTTTACTGTGTTGTTTTGTTTTAGAATCAAGGAGGTTCACTGTAGCCAGGTTCCACTAGGGTTCTAAACACATTAAGAATGAATTGCGATGTTCTGCTCCACCTTAAAGTGCTTTGCAGTCTCACCTGTTCCCACACCAAACTTTGCCATTAACCTCTGTTTGAACTCAAGAGGAGCCAAAGTAAATAAATCATCAGTGGCATGTTCAGTGAGAGAATCTGGCACCTACTTGTGCCTTGGTACTTCTTGTCACCTTGACAGATGAATGACACATCTCCTTGTTTTCCTATTGAACGTCTTTACTTTCATCATTCCTCTACCTCTGTTTTATCCACTGAACCTCTGTTCTCATTTGTCTTCATTTCTTCCCTCTTTCACCGGGTCTCCCTTGTATTCTTTATTTAGCCCTAATGAATTCTTTCTTATATGTTTCACAGACACACACCCCTCCCAACTGCTTTTAGTTCTTTCTGCTCACCCGTTTCTCTTTCTCTCTGGCTTTCGTCTCTGGGCTTTTGTCCTCACATCCTTTGGATTATTGGAGGATGTGGTACAGCATCGTGTCTCAGGCCACTAGAGGACTTTTAGAAGTCAACAAGAGAGAGGCTGTCATGCTCCCTGGGGTTCTCGCGCACACACACCCATTCAGTTCCACACATACCAATGKTAAGCTCTTGAATCCCCCTCAAAGAACCTAACTCCCACAAGGCAAAATGCCACAGAGAGGAAAAACAAAGAGATGGAATATTTTCTTTCTGTCCTCCGCTTTCTATCTCTTTCTAACCACCTCTCTTCTCGCTGTAGTCTTCAGTAGTTCTCTGCAGTGCAGTACAATCATKCGGAATGATCAAAGAGTCTGGGGTTTTAGAAGCGAGGGACAAGTTGAACGTGTGTGGAAGACGAGACGAGAAAAGAAGGCAGGGGAACAGAGCTGTCAATCAGGCACTCCATCAAACTCTGTGGGGCTTGTTTCTCAGTGGCACTTCCATGGAATACAACACCAAGTTTACCTGGGGAAAAAAAAACAGAACTGTGGTGTTTATTTATTTATTTATTTATTTATTTATTGGTCAGAATTTAAGGATTTTCTAGGAAAGTAAAGTAACAGGTGCAGCAGAAATGTTGGTCTGTCTTAGAGTTTCCAAAATATGTGCAGTTTTTAAATTAACCAGACCTGTAATAATGTCATTTAAAACAGAATAAATTAATAAAGCTGATAGAAATATCTTTATTTAAATTTATCATGTCTTCCATCAAACAACATTGATACAAGTAACTCTGACTCCCTGCTTTAGTTAAGATGAAGAATAAATAAATAAACAAGCTGACTTTGCCTATAAGTTTTAACACAAAATGAAAAATGAATTGGATTTGGAAAAACTGCCCCAAACCAAAGTCTTCTCCAATGCTGACCAATGTAGCCATACAAAATTATATTGTCTAGCTTTGTCTTTGCTTTGATTTTTTGTAGTGGTCGAGAGAGCTTAATAAGTAAAAAAAAAAATCATAATAATAATGCCTAAATTATAAGTTATGTCCAATGTATTGGTTTGTGAATCATGAAACCACAGCACCCTCTTCTGGAATGAGATAAAATTACAATTGGAAGTGTGCTGGTACACGTGTAAATGTGTTATGGGTTTCTAAAATRTGAATAATTGACAAATTAAACATGGTTTTACAGTTTCTTCACCAGAAGAAATGTAGGATGAATAGCACACATATATTAAATACAAAATGAGAATRGGTCTGTGTTTCTTTTCATAGAGAAAAAAGCTGATCACAGCATCAGATGCCACACTGAAACTTTGGAGGCAACCTGGGCAGTTTTTTTAAATTTTATTTATGTTTTAATGTGCTCCAAAATGTGTTAGTGTGCACAGTCAACATTCACTCAGGAGGGACTGCCCCAATGTAGGAGTCAGAAAAGAGCAGAAKACACATTTGTTAGTTGCACAAACAGTTCTAATCGCAAATTAGATGAAGGTAAACCTATGAGGATCTGAGTACACCTCAGGAAGCTTCAAGTTCTTGCCCCCTAGATTCTTAAAACGACCTGGTAATGGGTGGAGATAAGAATGGTTGGTTGTGCTAGTTTGAGAACTGAAATAAGCAAAGAAGGGGTTCAAAGGATTAAAAAAACTGCAATTTGTTTGGTTTCTGAATGAAAACTAAATAGAATGAATGAATGAATGAATGAATGAATGAATGAATGAATGAATGAATGAATGAATGAATGAATGAATGAATGAAAAACTGATTTACCTGAATCAAGATGACCAGTGAAAGAAAATCCAAGTTTCCTGTGTTCCTCTGAACTTTTAAACATGCAACAGCTCTTTGATATGCAAGTCCTTTATAACATTTGTSCTTTTAAATTGTAATAATCATGCAAATGATTAACTAATTGGAGATAGTTAGAGATAATGGATATTTTAGTTGTTTAATTTTAACAGCTAAGTGTTTTAGAATAAAGTGATTTATTCTGTTGGTGACAGCATTATGTAGTAAAGTATTAAAATTATAGTTCCTTAATTTGTCAACATAGAAATTGTATCATACTGTGCCAGTTTCAAAATGAGATAAGATAAAAAAACAGAAAAGCATAAGTCCTAATTTCATATACACAATTGTCTAAAAATCAGAGGAAAATAATCACCTAGTATTCAATCTAAGATTAAGAAAAGCTCACAGTTAGAAAAAATACAGCTGCTGTGGAATTCAACGTTATGGCACAAGTGCACACAAACAGATGCACATTGCTTTATAAGTTTAATGTACAGGAGTTGAATCAGTAAGGCAGCTGGTGTTAAACCATATAAATGAGTTTATGGTTTAATATGCTTGATGGGCAACACACACTGTTATGCTGTGGGCTGTGACTGAGTGCGTGCCAAAACTCCCAGGCCAATAACTCAACAGTAACATCCAAATCATCCTTTTAAACATGACAAAACAAAGATGCTATAGAATTTCATTTTATTTTAGATTTTAAAAATGTAAGTACACATTAACATCTCATTTACAAACTAGGATGGTTCCTACTGGTCTAGGACTTGGGTTGTTTGTGTTTGAGATTGTTTTTTTTTTACTATTTTATATTATTCTTTTTTATTTTTTAAGAACATGTTCAGGTAAATTAAAATACCCTGGGTTCCTTAAGGAAGAATGAAACCTATCTAAAGGATGAACACTTCAGCTGCCTTTCATTTTATTTCATGGCTATTTGTATTTCATTGTATATAGAATTTATGTTGTTTTAAAAAAAGAAATGAATAAACTTTACTTTTTACATTTTGATGCAGAAGTGTATCCATTCTCTGAGCTAATGGAAATCCCTGTCTCTAGGGCTGAGCCTGCCCATCCCAATGAAGGAAAGTCTTTCTTTCAATCATGATCCATATCTCATGACCATAGAGCAGGTTTGGAACATAGACAGACCAATAAATTGAGCGATTTGCCTTACAGCTCAGCACATTTTGTCACAATGGGTGTGTCTTTATAGAACCTGAATTGTGTTTTACAAAAAAAAAAAGGCAACTAAAGCAGCTACACTGCAAAAACTGTCCCTCTTACCCAGTTTTAAAATCTTATATCCAGCCAAAAAGTCTTTTTGATCTTGTTTTGAGACTGATTTACTAAACAAGAATTGATTGAGTAAGAATGATAATGTTGTTTTCAGAATGTGTAAGATTATTTGTCTTGTTAGTCTGAAAATTTGACTCAAATTAAAGTCAAAATTTTCTGCCAATGGAGTAAAAAAAAATACTTGGTAAGATTCTTGAAAATTGATTTGACTCATTTTTTTATTATTTCAAGAATCTTACCAAGTAAATTTTTTTACTCCATTGGCAGAAATTTTTGACTTAATTTTAGTCAAATTTTCAGACTAACAAGACAAATAATCTTACACATTCTGAAAACAAGAATATTATTCTTACACAATCAGTTGATTAGTAAATCAGTCTCAAAACAAGAACAAAAAGACATTTTGGCAGGATATAAGATTTTAAAACTTGGTTAGGTGGACATTTTTGCAGTGTAAAGCATGGTCTCACCTGAGCACAGAACACATGCACACTGTTTTTCTGTTCATAGGTTGCCATACTTAGAGAATGTATTTTTTAAAATAATTTCTTTGTGACTTCCTTCAGCTCTTGTAAAATATGGCTTAAGTTATTTTTAAGTTATTTTTTAGATGCAGACAGAATGTACTGATTGGCAATGGTCATCATAGGCTTTCCTGATACTCTTCGGGTATTGATTTTTTGATGAAGCACCACCTGAAGGTCAGCCTCAACTAAATGTGGTTTAACTGGCTGTGACCTTCACAGTTTTCACAGACTCCCTAACTGCGTTCACAATTCTTTGCATTTCACATGTTGAAAGACCAAGATTTTTCACCATGTTTCACTAAGAAAAAATAAAATAAAATAAACTTCCAAACTCCATCCGAGTATTAGTCCGTTGGTGATGGAAATAGACCATATCCTTTCTTATACATCTGATGACTAAAAGATAATCTGGTAATGATGTTCTGTCAAATATACTGTATATTACTACTCAGTTCACCAGGAATTAGGTAAACCTTTGCTGATCAGATAAACTGATAGCACCATTGGCATATTTGATTTATATCAGTGGTGCCAGATCCTGGTCCTCCAGGGCCAATATCTTAGAAACTGTATTTCTCTGCTTTGAAAGCCCAGGTTTGAATGGACACATGATTAATAGCCTTCTGAAGAACTTGAAGAGCAGGTAAACCACTAAAGCATGCACAATAGTGGTCCAYRAGGACCAGGATTGGGCACCAATGGTCAATGCTTAGCACCCATGTGTTAGATAAACTATTAACATCCATCTTTACCCCTTTCTATGTTTCTATATTGTGGGGGTTGCTTGTGCCAATGCCCAGCAGTCATCATACACAAGCACAGTGAGAGTGAGAGTGTGCATGCTTGTTTGTTTCACCTGTCTCTATGTGGTCATTGGAATGGATCTGAACCCTGTCCAGGGTGTATACCCTGCCTCTCACACAGTGACGGCTGAAAATAGGCAGCTTCGTGTGATTCCGAAATGAAGAAGTAAAGAAAGTGAATGGTAGAATAGATGATTAAACCTGAAAATAGGTCAAATCTCCTTCAAATTATTATTTTAGGCATTTTAGCCCATTCATTAGATTGAATGATGAAACATTTTCATCACATATTCAACTGAGTTGTTCAGAAAACATCAGAGCCGCAGCATCAAATGTCCAGGGCCGATAARCCAATGATGTAACAGATGCTCTTACCTCACAGGTTCAAGCAAACAGAGCAGGTAAGAAGATAATGAGAGCAGAAAGAGAGCTGACTTCTGATAGGTCAAAGAGAGTAATCACATGAGGCAGTTAGCAACAGCATCTATGCAGCTGTACAAACACAGGAACAAATTAAACCAAGCATGTTCTTTTTGCGTCCATAAATGCACTATAATTAAGCTTGGTCGCTCTTAACTGACTAGTGTGTGTATGTATGTATATATATATATATA